CCTCCTCCTCCTCCTCCTCATCATCATCACCATCACCATCATCACCATCATCCCAGCCTCCCCGTCGTCCTTCCCCATTGGACCCACGGTCTCCGCCTCTTCCTCGACCGTCCCGCTGCTCCACCTCGGCTCGACCCTCCTCCGTCTTCGCTGCTGGCGTCCAGCTCGGGGGGGGGGGCGCCTCGCCCGCGCCTGGCCTCCCGCGCAGGGTGTGGAGCACCCCCTCTGTGCGCCTTGTTCCTGTCGGGCCTGTTGTCCTCGTTCTCCTCGTTTCGTATTGTTTCCCTCGCTCTTCCTCGTTTTCGCCGGCACCCGTCGTTTCCTCGTTCTCTGCGTCTTGTCTTCCTCGTTCTCCTCGTTTCGTCTTGTTTCCCTCGCTCTTCCTCGTTTTCGCCGGCACCCGTCGTTTCCTCGTTCTCTGCGTCTTGTCTTCCTCGTTCTCCTCGTGTCGTCTTGTTTTCCTCGCTCTTCTCGTTTTCGCCGGCACACGTTTTTTCCTCGTTCTCTGCGTCTTGTCTTCCTCGTTCTCCTCGTTTCGTCTTGTTTTCCTCGCTCTTCTCGTTTTCGCCGGCGCCCGTTTTCCGCGTGTTCTTCGTCTTGTCTTCCTCGTTCTCCTCGTGTCGTCTTGTTTTCCTCGCTCTCGTATATTTTCTTCGGCGCCCGTTTTCCTCGTGTCGTCTCTCCACTCGGGCTGTCCTTTGCCCACTCGTCCGCGGCAGCCCCTGGGGGCGCTTCTGCCTCGGCGCCCACCGCACACTCTGGCCCCCCTGCCAAAGCATGCGCGCTGTCGTCGTGTGCGTTCTGCTCACCCTGTGGACCCCCCAGGAGGAGGGAGGAGGGGGGCAGGGAGGAGGGAGAGGTGGTGAGGGGAGAGGGGGGAGGGAGGGGGGGAGGGAGGTGAGGGGGGGAGGGAGGGATGTAGGAGGGGGGGAGGAGGGAGGGGAGGGAGGGAGGGAGGGAGGGAGTGAGGGGAGTAAAAAGGGAGGGAGGGAGGAGGAGGAGGAGGAGGAGGAAGAGGAGGAGGAGGAGGAGGAGGAGGAGGAGGAGGAGGAGCTCTACATTGTCGTCGAGCCGCTCGTCGTGTTCAGAGGGGTTTTGCCCCTTTTCTCACGCTGTGCTCCGGCTTTTTTTGCCCAGGGCTGGCCTCTCACCTTGGGCTGTTCTCTGAAGCCCTCGGGGGCCCGGGCAGGGCGCCCGGAGGCCGAGAACGGCCAGCAGAGGTGGCCGTCGCGATCCTTCCGGGACGAGAGGATGGATCCCGCGGTGAAACATATCGTCCGCCCGTCGTGATCTTTCCGAAACGGTCTGAGAGGAGAGGAGGATCCCGCACCAGAACTGGTGTTCCGTCCGTCGTGATCTTTCCGAAACGGTCTGAGAGGAGAGGAGGAGCCCGCACCAGAACTGGTGTTCCGTCCGCCGTGATCTTTCCGAAACGGTCTGAGACCGTTTTTGTTGACGGGTCCGGCGATAGCCCGGGTCATGGCTGGGGTTGGCCTGCTCCCCCCAAGTCCTCTGGAGGTAGGAAAAAGGGCGTGGTGGAAAGGGGAGTGGTGTTCATTCTATGGAAAGGGGACCCTGGCGATGTTGTTCATCGCAGATGGCATCGCCATTTCCACGATTGGCACCATTACCCCTTTATGCCACACCCTGCTTCCGACCTCCAGAAGTCCCCCTCTTGCCAACCTGACCTTGTCGCTGCGCAGGTCCGACGGGGGTACGCAGCTCTGGTGCGCGCGGGCATGCAGTCGGGCCGAGGTGTAAGATCGAGGTCGGTTCGGGGAGGGTTCCATCATGCTCTTCGTGTTTGTTTGATGTTTTTGCGCACCCTGGGGAGGGTGCCCTCGGATGTGCTGTGTGTGTGTTTTTGCCTGCAGGGGGTCTCATACTCTTGAAGGATGTTCTTCTGGCCTGGGTCCGACTGTACGTCGGGCTGCCCAAAGCGAGAAGGTTCGGTCATCGGGCGGCACCCCCTCCCCTCTCCCCCCCACATCAGATAACCCGGGTAATCGCCGATTGATCTGGGCATCTCAGACGGGGTCCGAGAAGACGGGGTCGAAAGGTCTCGCCGCATCGCCGATGCATTGTGGACCCCGATTTTCTCAACACCGACGTCGCCGATGCCATCGCCGATGCCTCCTCCTCCCTCCCTGCTCTCCCTTCTCTCCCTCCTTCTTCCCCCCTCTCCTTCCATCTTCCCATTCGTCCTCCGCCCCTGCTGCCCACTTCCTTCCTTTCTCCTCCTTCTCCTCCTCCTCCCGCTCCTCCTGCCTCCTCTCTCTCTCTCTCTCTCGGAGGAGGAGGAGGAGGAGGACCAGTGTAAACCCATGAGTCATCAACGATGTTGGGATTAACCCTCCCTCCAAGCTCCCACTTCACAGGCCCCTACAACGGTTCATTTCCAGCTGCTTCGTTGGAAGGCAACCGTTTGAAGACCCTGAAGCATGCCAAATCATGTTTAACTGGATTTCCACGCCACGGATCAACCTGACTTCTGCGTCCTGACGATCTGGAATCGTGCCAGAACGGCATTTTCGAGATTTCAACACCGCGAATCAACATAACTGGTGCACCCGCATAATCCTGAATCTTTTCAATACACCATTTCTTGTACGCTGATCCTGTGAATCCGTGAAACTGTTGCAACTGTTCAAAAAGAATATGCGCGGCGCTAAGGCGAGAGCCACATTTTGAAAAGGAACCGCCCTCAATCAATGAAACGATTGCACATGTTTAAAACGAATATGCGCGGCGCTAAGGCGAGGGCCACATTTCGAAAGCCACCCGCCCTCAATCCGTGAAACTCTTGCAAATGTTTACAATGAGTGTACGCGGCGCTAAGACGAGAGCGATATGTTGAAGACCACCCGCCCTCATGCTGTGAAGCTCTTGTGATTTTTTAAAACGATTGTGCGCGGCGCTACGGCGAGAGCCACGCTTTAAAAACACCCACGCCCAGTCCGTCAAGCTCTTGCAAATGTTTAAAACGAATATGCGCGGCGCTAAGGCGAGAATGGTGAGGAAGTCTCAGGCGAAACGCCCGGCCCGCCCTAAACATTGGCCTCGGGGTGCGACAGGGAGAAGTTATTTACCAGGAAAAGGAATGGAGGAGGATGGAGGAGGAGGAGGAGGAGGAGGAGGAGGAGGAGGAGGAGGATTGGAGGATTGGAGGATTGGAGGAGGAGGAGGAGGAGGAGGATTGGAGGAAAAGGAGGAGGAGGAGGCGCCCCTCCTCGCCTCCTACCCTCGCCCTGCCCGCCTCCAGGCGCGCCGCTGCAGTCCCTGCACTCGGCGCTGGCGGTCTCCGGGGCGGGAGGCCCCAGCGCGGGGGGTCGTTGCCTACGTTTCGGCCCCCCTCCGAGGTGCCTGTCTCGGGTAGACGTCTGGAGGCATGTGTGCAGCATGTATGCAGGGACGTACGCATGCATGCATACATTCATGCACGCATGCACGTGGTCATGTGTGTATGTGCGTACTCAAGTGCGTATCTATGCGTGTGTCTGGAATGTGAAGTGCGCGCGCTAGCGCGGCCGCAGCGATGCGCCAGCCAGCGCCAAGCAATCATGGCAGTCGCCGCCACATTGGTTTTGCAAACCCAGTTGCGGCATAAGGGTTGGCAACTTCAGGTTCGGCCGGGTGCATTGCACCACGTAGATTACACCGCATATATTGCACACCACATCTTGCACATAACAGGTTTCATCACATATAGTTCCCCACATGTATTGCACCGCGCAGATTGCACAACCTAGTCTCATAGCGTAGATTGCACAACGTATATTGTAGCGCATGGATTGCACGGCGTAGTTTCACCACATAGATTGCACAACATAGGTTGCACCCCTTTAGATTGCACTACGTAGGTTGCACAACGTAAGTTGAACACGCCGATGGCATCGCATATGTTGCGCACCACATTGATTGCACAAAATAGGCTGCACTTCATATATTGTACCACGCCGATTGCATCGCTTAGGTTGCGCACCACATAGAGTGCACAACATAGATTGCTCACCATATCTTGCACAACGTATAGTGCACTACATGTATTGCGCGACGTGCGCTGCGCAGCAAATATTTCCAAGAGACACGTTGTTAGGAGCTCACGCGGGTTAACATACATGTACATATTGTATATATGTATATATGTATATATATATATGTATAGATGTATGTATGTATGTATGTATGTATGTATGTATGTATGTATGTATGTATGTATGTATGTATGTGCATATATATATATATATATGTATGTTTGTGTATGGATGTTTGTCTCGCTCCCGCGCTTCTTGCCCCCGCCCTCTTCCTGACAGTCAAGACCAATAAGGACCCAGTGCTTCATCAAGGCTACCCGTGTTTTCTTCCCCTTTTCGGCTCATTCCCATCCATGAATCCTGGGGTCTTTGGGCCAACGCCGCTGCGCTTGACAAGTCTTGCAGCCACGCTTTGAACCCTTAATCTCAGCGTGCGTTCCGTCACTGCGCCCTGGTCGGGGCCCAGAGGCCTCTTGAAATCTTCTCGGGGTTCGGCCTTTGGGGTCGTCTTGGGTCTCGGGTACTTTGAGCCCTTTCGGAAGGTAATTGTGACCCTTCGGGGCTCTCTGGGACTGTTTGGGCGCCGTCTAGGCACCGTCTTGGGCCATCCTGGACTCTAGATGCCGTCTTGGGGGCCTCTTGGGACCAGGGCCGTCTCGGGTAGTCCTTGCGACTTGGGGCCCTCTTGGGCAGTCTTGAAGCCATCTTGAAGCCATGTTGAGCCGAGGGCCGAACATGCCAAGCACTTGGGGGAAACAACTTGACGCTACGCGTGTCCCCGCCAGCCCATGCATAAACGATGCCCCAGCGAGCTGTCGTGGGAGCCTGGTAGCAGCCTTTTGGAGCCATCGTGTGAGGATGAGGAGGAGCTGGGAGGAGGATGAGGGAGAGGAAGAGGAAACGGAGGAGAAGGATAGTGACGAGGAGGCCTACGCGGATCGTTAGTTTCCGTGTCGCCGCGGAAGTTGTACGACGATGGTGCGCGGCGCTCTGCCGAGAGCTCGATTTTGAAAACTACCGGTGCTCCATCCTTGTAGCTGCTGCGAGCGTCAAGCTTCAGGATTCTAGCTGGTGGGAACATCACGGTCGAAACGCCCAGCCCGTACTCACCGACAAGTCTGGGGGTACTGCAGTTATCGTTGGGGCAGGAGATGCGGGAGGACGGGGGGGAGAAGAAGGGGATGTTGGACGACGACGACGACGACGACGACGACGACGACGACGACGACGACGACGACGGCGATGGCGACGGCGACGGCGACGGCGACGGCAACGGCGACGGCGACGGCGACGACGAGGCCGCCCCGAGGCGATCGACCGCCGAGGCTGGGCGACCTGTGCCCCTCGTGCCCGGCCCTCGGCGCGGCCCCGAGGCGGCCGAGCGCGGCGCGCGCACCGCGGAGGAGGAGGAGGAGGAGGAGGAGGAGGAGGAGGAGGAGGAGGAGGAGGAGGCGGGGCGCGGCGGCCTCGGCCAGCGGCGGCCCGCGAGGGGCGGCCTCGGCGGCAGCCGGCGGCGGCCCAGGCGGCAGCTGGCGGCGGCAGCAGCGGCGGGCGGCCGAGGCGGCAGCTGGCGGCGGCGGCGGCGGCGGCGGCAGCGACGGCCGAGGCGGCAGCCGGCGGCGTCGGCGACGGCGGCTGCGGCCGCGGCGGCGGCGGCGGCCCGAGGCGAGTGCGCGAGGCGCGCCACTGTGGCCCTGGTCGGGGTGGGGGAGGAGGAGGAACCTCAAGTCGGGCGTGTCCCTCTACAGGAGGAATATTCAAGAGTAGTCAAGAAATAGTCCGGGGACGATGTGTTATAGCATGTTCTGCTATTTTAGAACATGTTCCACTGTTTTTAGTTTTTCGTCCCAGATCCGCCTACAGGGGGGCACGCCCGACCTAAGAGGAACACAAGGGTGTTCGCGGCTCGGTCTGCTCGGCTGCGCTGCGGTCGGTTTCGTTCGGGCGGTTCGGTTCGGTCAGCCGCTCTGCCCCCGCGACACGGGGTTCAAACTTGAGCCAAAATAGCTACGGTCCTCCACCTCCTCCTCGTCCTCCTCCTCCTCTTCCTCCTCCTCCTTCTCGACTCGTGCGGTGGCCGCGTGCGTGGGGCGGGTCTACTTCAGTCAGCGCGGGCTCTCCCCCTCGGGTCTCCTGGTTTGCGGCCCCTTGGGGCCCGTGGTGGTGGGCCTCCGCCCACCTGCCGCTGACTGGAGTGGACGACCCTCCCGTCGGCGGCGCAGCGGCCGTTGTGCCGAGAGAGGGGGTTCGACCTTCTTCTAGGTATTCTCCAGTCTCCAGTCTCAGACGGCACCCCCAATGCCCCCAGGCGCCCAAAGCGTGAAGTGCGCCGCAAGGGTTAAGATAACCCCAGATGCGCCAGCGGCATATCGGCGGGATTTGCTGTCTGGTTAGTAATCGTCCTGTAATCGTCCTCCTCCTCCTCCTCCTCCTCTTCTCGCGAGGGTTCGTGTCGCTGCCGCGCTGCTGCGCCCCGCTCGCCTGCTTGCGGCCTGTCGGTTTCGGTCTTGGGTTTCCGTTGTGCCGCCGCCGTGGACGGCCGTGGAACAGGGGCCACCGCCCACCAAACCACCCCCAACCCAACCCTTGGCATCGCTCGGACATGTGCATTGTTTTTTCGGCGAGAACCATCGAGGAGCATCTCTGATCATTTAGCGAAAAATACACGCACGAAATCGAAACATGCACGGGGAATGGCCGTCCGAGCGATGGCGAGAACCCGAACACCCCGATCTGCCCTCCATTTCCAGTGGTGTCGGGGAACAGTGAAACAAAAACACATCTGAAGCCCGACCCCCCCCCCAACACGAGATTCGCGTCTTCGGGTTGGGTTGGGGCGGTCTGGTAGGTAGTCAACGGGGGGGAGGGGCAGGAAGGGCAGGAAGCTCTTTCGATATGTTGGCCACCGCGACCACGTCGGCTGTGCTTTTCACCATCCCGCCAGTTTATCTAAGTTAGTCCCAGTTGATCGGCGTTTGCCCAAGTTGTCTCAGCTGATCCCACTTCATCTTAGCGAGTCCCAGCTTATCCAAGCGAAACCAAGCTTAGTCCCGCCAACAGATCTGAAGTGTATGACTGACGCCACCATCCTGGCTGATCTAAGTTGACCCAGCGACAGCAGCAGCAGGGGGCGCAGGCGAGTGGCCTTCGCGCAAGAGTCCCCCCCCCCGCGGAAGCCAACGCGGGTGACGGCGCGTCCAGTTTGCCCCCCGCAGCGCCACTGGATTTCCTCGATGATGACGAGGCTGTTGTTAATGATGATGATGATGATGCTGATGATGATGCTGATGCTGATGCTGATGCTGATGATGCTGCTGCTGCTGACGATGATGATGACGACTATGCTGACCATGCCGATTATGCTGGTGATGCTGATGACGACAAGTATGATGATGACGATGATTATGATGATGATGATGATGATGATGCTGATGATGATGATGATGATGATGATGGCGATGATGATGATGCTGATGATGATGATGACGGTGGTGATGGTGATGATGATGACGGTGTTGTTGATGCTGATGCTGATGATGAAGATACTAGCGATGAAAGATGATGTTAATGCTGATGATGATGTTATGGATGGTGATGGCGATGATGATGGTGATGCTGTTGGTAACGCTGGTGATGATGATGCTGTAGATGATGATGGAGATGCCAACGAGTGTGACGATGTTGAAGCTGATGATGGTGATCAGATCTATGATGATGGAGATCATGATGACGATGGTGATGGTGAGGATGATAGTGATGGTGATGGTGTTGATGATGGTGTTGATGCTGATGGCGTTGACGAGTGTAGCGATGTTGGAGCTGACGGCGGTAATAATGAATATGATGCTGGAGATCATGATGACGATGGTGATGTGAGTATGCTGATGATGTTGATGATGTTGCTTTTGGTGTTTTTCATGATGATGCTGCTGTGGTGATGTTGGTGGTGCGAATGTTTGCTTTCATTTATGATGATAGTACCATAACCGTACGAACAATGAAATTACACATAAGAGTGATGCTGACGAGGATGAGGATGAGGATGACGATGATGATGGTGATGATGGTGATGATGATGATGATGGTGATGGTGATGGTGATGATGATGATGATGATGATGATGATGATGATGATGATGATGATGATGATGATGATGATGATACTGATGGTGATGATGATGCTGATGATGATGATCATCATCATGATGATGATGGTGATGATGATGATGATGATGATGATGATGATGATGATGATGATGATGATGATGATCGATTGTGGCGTTGTTGCATCTGGGCGTTTGCTTGCTCGATTCTGGCCCTGGCGGGCCGCGGTTGGGCCGAACTTTCACCTGCAGCGACACCGTGGCCCCCCGAGCGGCTGCCGCTTCTCTCGGGCGGCGGGGAGCTGGCTGCGGCCGGTGCTCATGGAGACCCCCGGCCGACCGCTCGGGCACGCCGGCAGTCGCGTCCTGGTGCGCACTGTCATCCATCAGTGGCCAGACCCTGGCGTTGTCGCCCAATGTCGGGCCCCGGGGCCCTCACAGATCGACCCGGCTTACAAAATGCCGCAGAAAGATGGGGTCCAGGGCCCCGGGCGCGGATTTCCACGAGGTCGCAATTGTTTCGCAACGTCGGATCTCAGGGGAGTGCGAAAAGCAGGTTGCTCTACGCCCTCCTCCCCAGATCTCCTACGATCTGCGATGGCTCCATGCCGGCGCTGTCCGCTCGGTTCTGGCTCCTGCGGGCCGCTGTGGAGCCGGGTTCGCGCCCGCAGCGTCACCGTGGAGTTCCTCTTCCTCCTCCTCGCCCTCTCCTCTCCCTCGCCCTCGCCCTCTCCTCTGCCTCCTCCTCCTCTCCTCTTCCTCCTCCTCCCTCTCCTCTTCCTCTCCTCTTCCTCCCTCTCCTCTCCTCTCCTCTCTCCTCTCCTCTCCTCCTCCTCCCCTCTCCCTCTCCTCTCCTCTCCTCTCCTCTCCTCTCTCCTCTCCTCTCCTCTCCTCTCCTCTCCTCTCCTCTTCTCTCCTCCTCCTCTCTCTTCCTCCCTCGCCCTCTCCCTCTCCTCCTCCTCCCTCTCTGCGGTCGCGGGAGCCCGCTCCGCGTCTCGCGCCGCGGAGCGGCGCGGGGCGCGGTCCGCGTGCAGGGCACCGCCTGTGGCAGGGGCCGCCCGCCGCGGCACGCGAAGCCCAAGCTCTGGGCCGCAGTTTGTGGTGTCCTCCTCCTCCCCCTCCCCCTCCTCCTTCTCCTCCTCCTCCTCTCTCCTCCTCCTCCTCCTCCTCCCTCCTCATTCTCCTCCTCCTCCTCTCTCCTCCTCCTCTCCTCCTCCTCCTTCCATTCCTCCTCCTCCCCTCCTCCTCCACCTCCTCCTCCTCCTCCTCCTCCTCCTCCCTCCTCCTCCTCCTCCTCCTCCTCCTCCTACCATTCCTTCCTCCTCCTTCCTCCTTCCATTCCTCCTCCTCCTCCTCCTCCTCCTCCTCCTCCCCCCCCTCTCATCCTCCTCCTCCTCCTCCTCCTCCTCCTTCCCCTCCCCCTCCCCCCTCCCCCTCTCTCCTCCGCCTCCCCCTCCTCCTCCCCCGTCGATGCATACCCCCTCCAGAAGGACCTTCCGAGGGCCCGGGCGGATTCTTCGATTCCGCACTCGGCGTGCCAGCGCAGCGGCCCGCTGCTGCTGCTCCGGTCCCCGCCGGCGGGGCCGGCCGCGCCGGCGCCCCCGGGGACGAGACCCGCATCCGCCCGCGAGTGGCCCTCGCTCACCGAGCGCGTTCCACTACTCGCAAAGTGCCTACTCGCAAACGCCCGAAAAGCACATGTCTGATTGGATGCAGCTCCTCGTATCTCCCCCCCAGCGGATCCAGGCCATCTGCGAGTCGTCACTTTGCGAGTAGTGGAGAAGCGCTCGTCTACTCGCCCCTCCCCCGCCTGCGGCCGCCCTCCTCTCCTTTTCCCTCTCCTGCATGGTGGTTCATTCGCTTCCACGGCGCCCCCGTTTACGCAGCTCACCTCGTCAGCGCAGACGACCCTTGCCGAGCCGCCGACGACGCAGTTTCTCGCTGCACGCTTGCCAGACAGGCTCAGGGGGCAAACGTTAAGGGGGGGGGGGGGGCAACGTTAGGGGGGGGGGGGGGGGAGGGGGGGGGGGGGGATGGCAACGTTCGGGGGGGGGGGAGGGGGGCAACGTTAGGGGGGGGGGGGGAGGGGGGGGAACGAATCGACTCCCAATCGCGCCCACTGATCGCCAATAGGAGCTTCAGCTCCCACCCCTGCCGTCCACGCGCGGCTTCGCTGTCCGGGGGCCTGTCGCAGATTTACCTTCGGAGCGCTGCCGATTCCAACTCGCTGTTTCCACCAGCGGGCCAGCCTGCACCCCCCTTCCTTGATCCTCGTACACCGACACCTTGGATTTTCCCTTTCTCTTCCCCTCCCACCCCTCGTCCACAGCTTTGGGGTTGTGTTCGCATCGCCCTTTCCCAGGCAGGCCAGATCCCAGAGGCCACGGCCTCACCCACCTGGCTTGTCATTCTGCCAGGACGGTTGTCCGCAGCAGTGGTAGTTTGTTCGCTCGTTCGTTCCTGAGGTCCTCTCGAGTCCTCCAGATGCTCCCAGAGGCAAGGGACGTGCACAAACCTCGCCGCCGACGAAGACGACGCCGACGACGGCGGCGGCGGCGACGGCGACGGCGACGCCGACAACGACGGCGACGAAAGGCGGGAGGGGCAGAGGCAAAGGCGGGAGGGACCAGCGACGACGAGGACGGCGGCGACGACGTGGCGACGACGACGATGACGACGACGACGACGACGACGACGACGACGACGACGACGACGACGACGACGACGACGACGACGACGTCGACGTCGACGTCGACGCGACGACGACGCCGACGACGACGACCAGCTGGGCGCGGCGGGCCGCGGGCCCGACTCCCGGCGCCCAGCGGCCACTACGTCGCGGCCGTCGACGCGGCCACGGGCGACGCCGCCGAGATGGCCCTGCGGGGGCGGCCGAAGCTGGGTCCTCCCCCTCCTGCCCGTGGTCCTCCTCCTCCTCCTCCTCCTCCACCACCTCCTCCTCCTCCTCCTCCTCCTCCTCCTCCTCCTCCCCCTCCTCCCCCTCCTCCCCGTCCTCCCCCTCCCCGTCCTCCTCCTCTCCTCCTCCCTCCTTCCTTCTCCCCCTCCTCCTCCTCCTCCTCCTCCTCCTCCTCCTCCTCCTCCTACTCCTCCGCCTCCTCCGCCTCCTCCTCCTCCACCTCCTCCTCCTCCACCTCCTCCCCTCCTCCTCCTTTCTCCTCCCTCCTTCCGCCTCCCCAGATATCCAACGCATCGCAGAAATGCGATGGAGGTGTCTTGCCAGCTTCGGCCTCACGCATCGATCAACAAAAAATGAAGACGGAGGTCTCTCGCGAATGTCGGCCTCCAGAGGCCCTCGGCTGGCCCAAGGGACCGTCCAATAATCACTTGGGACGAGGAACCGCTCGCATGGGCAATGGGTCGAGACCTCCGGGAACCCCGCATGGAACAAAATCAAGACGTCGGATCTCTGGGTCGTCGTCGCCGTCGTGGCCTTTGTCGCCGCCGCCTCTGTCGTTGTCGCTGCCGACGCCGTCGCCATCGCCCCCGCCGTTGTCGGTGTCGTCGCCTCCGTCGTCCTCTCCAAGGTCGTCGAGCTCGTGCCAGTTCTCTGAGCACTGGGATCAAAGGTTCAGGGTCGAGGCGTTCAGATGTTTTTCTGCATAGTCTTCCTGTCTCTGGAGGTTCACGGGGACCTCTGGAGGCCGCTGGAGGCTTCTGGAGGCCTCTGGATGACGTCGCCATCGCATGCCATCCTCAGCGTTAGGCCGCGGGCGATCGGTCAGGATCGCGATGCCACGATTACACGGTCATAGGGCCGTGCGCGTCACCTCAACCATCGCGAGCGAAGCCAGCCAGCTGCTGTGAGGAATTAGTGAGCGCTAGCTTACCCGTAGCAGTAGCAGTAGTAGCAGTGGTAGTGGTAGTGGTAGTGGTAACAGTAGTAGTAGTAGTAGTAGTAGTAGTAGTAGTAGTAGTAGTAGTAGTAGTAGTAGTAGTAGTAGTAGTAGTAGTAGTAGTAGTAGTAGTAGTAGTAGTAGTAGTAGTAGTAGTTAGTAGTAGTAGTAGTAGTAGTAGTAGTAGTAGTAGTAGTAAAGTAGTAGTAGTAGTAGTAGTAGTAGTAGTAGTAGTAGTAGTAGTAGTAGTA